TGAACTGTCAGTCAGATGGTGACTGATGGCTTAAAGACCTGCCCCCCTCCCCTTCAAACAGAAGGCTTCCTTCAGAGGGCTCTATAAAACACAGAGGGGGGCGAGCAGGGAGAGGACGCAGATAAACACAGAGGTCAAAACGACATTTCCATGATTACACCCTCGACAAACCCATAACCGCAACAGCTGCAATGCAACGCGGCACAGCACAATAGTAAGGCCTTCCCCAAATGAGGAAACACTATGAAGTGTAATAGTTTCAACCTTTCAAGGGTGTTAAAGGCACAACGTTCAAATGATAAAGCAAGAGAAACACTTATAATGTACATGAGGCTACTGAAGAGCCCGAGCATCCCCCTTCCCTTTGCACACGTTCCTAAACAAATCTGACTAATTAAGACGGCTAATTAATTCTCATTCACTAATGGTGCTCCTGTCAAAAAGGATGGCCAGTCTGAGAGGTAAAGTGGTACTGTGATGGGAAAATTAACTTTTCCAGGCTGGACATGCAGAATGATTAACAGATCTGCATCTCATTAGAATGTGTTAAAACACTGAAAATAGGAGCTGGCAGCTATAAAAATCACTTTAATGTTGATATTAATCAAGTGCATGACAAACTGAAAAACTGAATTGTTGGAAACTAGGAATAATACATTTTTTAGAGCTAATCCATGCTGAGTCCAGAAACGTATCTGCAATTACTGTGACACCTTAAAGGAATATTCTTTAAATAAATCCCAAAAATGACACTTTCATTAGGTTTTTCCAAGACAAAGGAATGTGTTAGCTAGTTTATCTGTTTTAAATGAAATATGAACATATTTTAAATTAAGTCTTCTTCATGCTGTACATGTGGGCTAATTAATTAATGTAAAAAAGGAACATTTCTTCATTATACTCAGAGAAAAGTGCCTTCCATTTATATGTAGATGTAATAACACCTGTCCCATCAAGCTGCATTCAAATTTTAATAATGAGGTTGGACGGATCACATCACTCACATTTCCCTGGAATGGATATTGTTTGTTCTTGGTCTTTATTAGAGCATACAGACTGTTGGCTCTTTACCCTGGTCGAGCATGTAAACACTCCAGTGTGTAACGGATGACTAATGTCTTTGTGTGTGACTGAGGGTCTGCCTGTACGCCGAGGTCAGAGGAGTGCATTGTAACTGTATTCACAGGGGTCGCAGAGGCCATCAACCCCCCCTCCCCCTCCAACCCTCTGTCTGCCACGGCGGCCTTTGACCCCAAAGATGTAGAGTGGGGCCATACTGGCTCAGACAGGGAGGGGATCACTTTACAGCTGGACGCCAATCTTAAACCCGCTGACATCGCAGAGGGAACCAGAACCTTTCCCATGGATTTATGGATATAAATCAACTCCATGCCCTGTCCTCGCCTATGGCACACAGCGGTGTCCTCTTACATGGTCTCACTCTAAGTCTTCCCACTTTGCCCGGGGAAATCCCATTCTTGGCATTAGTCCTGCTGCACGTCCCTCTTTCCCCCCCGGTGATTACAGCAGTAAAGAGTGTGAGTCTCTGGAAGGGCTTCACAAATCAACTAATGGCTTTATCGGACTTGTCCATTGTGATTGATAGGATGGTATAGGTGACTAAACCTGAGGTGAAGAGACTCTGGTGAAGAAGGGAAATTGACTCCAATGAGTGTTGGAGAACAGCGGGCCAGAGGGACATCTGGGATGGTTATGAGTATGTTGACAAGAGGAAATGGGGGTCACGGCGAACGGCAATTACGCATGCAGAAGGCAGTTCAGCACAATTAAAACTAATGAGCCTTCAGCCCTAAAACCTGCACAGGAATTAGTGATTTTCTGCCACATGTAATCCGGATGGAAAAGTGCAGTAATTACTGAGCGGCTAGCTAAAGTCATATCACACAGAGCTGCTAAAAGTTAGACAGTTATGCTTAAGCGGACATGTTCATATAATTGCAGCAGTTGGTATATTTTGCAAGGATGATCCTTACAGCCTGTTATGTTTTCAGCAACATAATAAGGCATTTCAAGCAGGAAGAATATTAGTGATATTCTTTGAAGCAAAACATATGTCTTTGGTAGGCAGCTAGGTGGTTGGCTAGTTCTTTTTTTTATAAATTCCCCCCTTAAAAATTGCAGGGCTTTGACAAAAATGGGTGTAAAGGTACTGATTTAGTGAAGGCATGCACACTCTTCACCAGTCAAACTGTTCCTGAATAAAATCAGATAAACAGACAAATCAATAGTTGACCACATAAGACCACATTAAAGGAATTAGATGGATGGGTGATGGATTAATGGACGGACGGATGGATATGGGGCTAATTGGTGGGAAAGACGCCGGACGACACCCACCATGGTGGTGCAGGTCACAGCTTGTCTGTCCTGGCGAGGGCTGAGCTGCCTGGGAGGGAGACTCCAGCTCCTCCACCAGGGGAGGGCTGGTGTTGAGCTGCCCCACAGGAGGGGGCCAGGGTAGGTCCTTGATCACTTTAATCTCTACTGCGAGTGTTGACCGGAGGTCAACGGAGGAGAGAGATGGAGGGAAGGAGAAGACAGCGAAGAGAGGCATCAATGGACCACGACAAAGGGGAGTGAGGAGAGGTAAGTAGTGACAGGAAACAGGGAGGAAAAAGGAGGAAAAAAAGGAAGAATAGTGAAAAGTGTCAGAAAAAGGTCAGGAAATGGCAGTATTGTGGTAGAGAAGCGGTTTATACTGCGATCCCATAATCCCAGTATCTGAAAGGAATACAACAGGACTGAAAGAGAAGTAAAGTTAGTTTCCCAGTGTACAGGGTTGGGCTCTGATAGCGGGTGCCATATTGGATTTGTTTCTGGGTTATTAAAATATCATTGATTATTACGAATAACAATTACGGGTCAATGGTCAAAAGATACTTACAAAAATAGAAATTCAATTTAGGAGGATTTAGAAGTAGTCTATAAAACGCTATTAAACCCCAACCGTACCGAATAAGTTATACTGCGCACCCTGTCATCCTCCTGTTCCTGTACACTCCAACTAATTCTGTGGCATTTACTTTACTTCAAACATCGGTTCTGCATTTGTGTCCCACTTCCACCGAAATCTGACAACGTCTGCTTACACTCCGCTGTTACACACACTCTTTGTGCTGAGTTTAAAAAAAAAGAAGCTGCAACTTCTGTATTGAGATAAACAACACTGCAGACAATATCCTTCTCTGGAATGTATCTCGGAGCATCCGTCCTGGCAGCGGACGCTCCCTGGGCTTTGTCCCTTAAATAATGTATACCTTATGTCCAGCCTGGGTGGTATCAGGCTAATTGAAGCCCCCTTTTAAAAGCATATCAGTCACCGAGCAAGGGCCACTTGTCAAATAGCTCAAGATAAAAGTGTTTATGTCATTCGGGAAAAACAAATAGCCTAAAAAGACAAAGGCGAATAAAGAAACAGTCCAGCAATTGTAGCTTCAGAAAAAACAGACGACTCGTTCCAGAGAGTGTCTTGTATTAATTGATGACTCTTTTTCTAGAAGTGTCCAACATAGACCTTCAAATGAGGCCACTGACGGCGCTCCTAAGAACATGTTCATTTCCTTGTCCATGGTACTGGAGATATTACCACAGCAGATAACGCATCATTTCATTCATCTAGTTCCGACTCGTGTCATGAAATGCTGTTGAAGACAAATCGCAAACTGCAAAACAAGCTTCGCTTAAGGTGCAGAAAAACGCACACTGCCGATGGAGCCCAAAAAGAGACTCCTATGGAGAAGCACAAACCCACAGGGACAAAATAACACACAAGATTAATGAAAAAAAAAGTCTGGAGATATTGGGTAACAAAAGAATCCCAATCCTTGATAGCCTACACTTCTATCAAAGAGCTCTTAAATCATCATTGTGGCAGGCGGCAGATATTGCATCCAGGAAGAGTTTAAGATACAATACATTATTGTTGTTGTCTCCACAACACAAGTCTTTGTTTTTGTTAGTTTTGTTCAACTTTGGACATAGAAGCACGTACTGCTCATATAACTTAGAACTATAGATCCACATTACAATCGATAACAGTAACTATTTCATCAGGCACATTTCCATTCAGAGTAACCCCCCTCAGCCAAAGTGCTACCTCATCTGAGGGGGAAAATAATGCATCTGTATGCATAGCCATTAGTGTGGCACTGTGTTGCCGGGACTACAATGCAAGCTGGTTTTCAGTGGGAGGAAGAGCCTGTTATGAACTCGTCCGCCTTCCATCCCCCGGTGGTACAGGACATGCTAATGAGAAAGAATATCTGCGGGCTTGATGTATCGGAGAAAGTGGAGAACATTCAATCCGACAAGCAATTAAATACCCCCCACACCCCCCTTCTCGCTCATGGAGAAAGAGAGGTGGGTGAACAGAGGAGCCCCTTGATGTCCACCCCGATGGGGGGTTCTGTCGGGTTTGGTGGACCAGTGAGACGGGAGAGTGGGGAACGGACACTCAAGGTCGGAAAGAGATAATACAACTTCCACTACTTTGGGGTGAAGCAGGAGACTCTCTTCCTGTGAGATCAAACGCCTAATGCGCATTTCACATTGCAGATTAGTGTGTAATTGTTTGGGGAGCAGAAGGCTGCCGCCACTCTGCAGCCACACTGGGAGACCATTTTGGCGAGTGAGGCCCAGATGTGCTCGGATGCGCAGATGAATTATACAATTTAGCACTGTGAAAATGAAGGCCGGCTTATTCAATAGCCAAGTGTTTTTTGTTACGGTTTGACAGGAATCTCTTTCGTCCTGTAACGTATCGTAAGAATACTGCTGGCCGCGCGGCCTTGAATCATCGTCGACTCTATATAGCATGCGTTGTCCCATGGATGAGTGAGTCCTTACACCTTGCAGCATTCGTCAGATAATTCAAATTCAACCCTGGAGGCTCAGAACATAAACCTGCTGTGTATCAGCCCTGTCGATGGTACTGGTTGAGGGTTTCAGAGACAAAAGGTGAATATTAGGTAAAATAGAATAAAAACACAACGTCTAATTCACGTGACCATCTTTTTGATAATTGTCACTATCCGAAGTGGTAAGCATGCTCTCCGTTAAATTGGACATGATGGAAAGACTGTAGCTTAACACAAAAAGTCAACGTCCAAATTTACGATTATTAAATACAATTCGGTATGGGTTACTGCAATTATTGGTACGATGTGTTCTCTTTTCCACAACAAACGAGGACCATTTATAAGGGAATATGTCAAAACGGTCGAAGATAACTGGGTGTTTGTCGTCTCATGTGACTGCGTTTGGATCAATATGCCACATCTGATCTGCATAATCCATAGTAGTACACAAGGCCTTGTGTTGACATATGTACAGGGGCTATTTAGAATTCTCGATCGACAGAGGACATACAAGTTAAGCACACAAAAGTGGCCACGCTATGACTTTCAATGGGAGCATTTCCAAACTGTCCTGCTTGCTTTGGAGACGTGCGGTGCTGGCGGGATGTCACTCAGACTGGACGCCGCCAGGTTGAGCCCCAATCTGAGGGCGCCGCGGCTAAGTAACGGTTTCAAAACCTGCATGTCGATCTTAGTTCATCAAAAGAACCAGAGAATACTTGAACAATGGAGCCTTTTTAATGTCCCTACACTCCCTTTGTTCTTCCAGGAACAGCTCTGTCTTTCAGGCCAGGTATTTGCTTACCCAGGCTTTTTATTAGCCAATGGCGCTTCATCGCTGTAAACAGTGCGGCGCCATAAATCAGAAGCTCTGCTTGTTTCCACTAACGGCATTTTCATTTAGTTCTGCTTAATTTGGTTGGCTAATTGCATGCATATTCAAAACAAGCTGGAAGATTGCAGTTGTTTATACATACATACTTACATCAGCACGAGTGCTTGGAAACAAAAACCAGCCTCTCCTTTACTGGTGATTGTTCTGTCGACAGCTGTGTAATGCTCCGGAGGAACTGAAATGCCATTCCATGAATCTGCCCTCACCGTGTCCGTCACATTATACGATCCGGCTCTCTTTCAAAGCGCAGATATGCTTTGGCATTAAAAATGAAAGTGGCAAAGGCCCTTTTTTCCCTGGTCTTCTATCTGGAGAGAGAAGGGAGAGATGCGTGGGAGATGCCCGGCCAGCAGGAGCTCCAGCTGCTGGAGGAGCGCTGCTCCTGTACTCGGCGAGGCAGGTTTACAGCCGTGTTGTGTGTGGCCAATGTGTGTGAGTGGAGATAAGACCTGTGGCAGCGCTCAGTGAAAGGAGGGCCAGACACATTTGAGGCCCATGAAAGAGCGCTGTCAGGAAGGTTATCAGCAGGGTGTTGCTGCAGAGGCCGGCGGGACGAGACAGAGCTGAGGAGTGACGGACAGCGCAGGGTAGGATGGGCGGGACGTGGGGGGGGGGGAGCGCTGCCGGACCTGCCAAACACAGAGAAACGGAGCCATGGCACCCACAAAACAGCTGGCCTCCACCCAAGCGCAAACGACCCCCCCGCGCAGGACTGTAACTGAATCAATTATTTATTTTAGGGACATTAGACTTGAGCCTCAGGTGTCCGGGTCGTTAAGCCCGTGAAGATTCATTAAAAAACCATAAAGCTCCCCGAGACCCGAGGGAGCGCGCCGCAGCGCCTCCTCTTATCTCCCGTGTTAAATGCGTTGTACCCCGCTGGCCGGGGGCCAAGTGGAGGGAGTTAGTAGCAGGTAACAGAGGGCAAGGAGATTAAGTGACAATGGCTCTCAATACCCGCCCCCCCCCTCCCGCTGTGACGAGGCTCAGGTTTCCCGTGGCGGCACGTCCGGGTCTGAATGTGTGCCGTGAGTCAAAGCGCACACGCGCTTTTCGCTGCGCTCTTTGAGCTCTCGCCCGTCACGAGCGGCCGTCTTCGTGCGGTCAAATTTGAATGCGTAGTCCTCTCTCTCTCTCTGCCTCCAGTGTCATCCATCAGCGAGTCGGCAGCCATGAGGGGGAGGGTGGGGGGGGGAAGAAGCTGTGGCCCGTGTGGGTTCAGTCTGCAATTTTTGAAAGTGTGTGCGTGTTGGTTTGCATGTGGGGGGGGGGGAGGAGGGCACAGTGAGGATGAGTGATTAACCAAACCACAAGTACACAGCTCCTCAACACCCTAACAAGGCAGGAGGGGGTGTGGGGGGGTTACATTTTATGGCGTACCTGTCAGGAGAGAGGCCGGCAGTAAATAATAACACCAAAGCGAAGGTGTTGTGAGAGGGCGAGCGAGGCGGAGGAGGAGGAAGGGAATGCAGCAGGAGCAGTTAGTCTGTCCCCCCCCCCCGTCATTAATGAAGACAAATTGTCTTTTACGCAGACAGCGCGCCACGTTAAACCGCGGTGGGAGGGAGTAGGCAGCATTTGGTACTTATTTAATCTCCCCTCCCATTTCTTTTTTTACACCCACTCTGTGATTTGGTAAAGCTGTGTATCTTTTTTCATTATCGGTTATTTTTTTCGATGCAGATGCTTTCATTTCCCATGAGACTGCCGGAAAAAAGAAAGGTGGTTTTTGATGAGGGGAGGAAAATGCTTACAAAATCCAAACTGCGACCGTATATTGTTATTTATCTATATTCTAAGTGTTTCAGCAACTATAGCAACATAACTGAGGAAAATTGGTCTCTATGCATGGAGCTGTAGTTAGGCAGACCTCTAAAAATGCTGCGTGCCCACAGAAGGTCTCGATTTAGGGCCTGAAATAACAACCTCAAAACATCTTTACATACAACCAGACTTGCCGCTGACTTCTGGGAACACAGCGACGTCGACTGTTTGGAGCTCGTGGACTGAACAAGCATTGGACGGAAACAAAGGCTCCGAGTGTCATAAAACATAATGTTGTGTTACCATCGTTTGTACGAAACATCTGCAGTAGATCGAAAAAGTAGCTTCATAAAATCTAATGGACATTTACAAATAGGTGGTTCATGTAATGTTCTTCACATTTTCCTTGATAATTTATGATACCATATATAATCAAATAATTAACATATTTTTTACACGGCTTCGACTTTTTTTTATAACCGTATGCCTTAAACCTCCACTCAAGCACCTAAGCAAATTCATATGATGCTTTTTCCCCACATAAAATATAGTAACTATAACTAGAAACGCTCCAACAACTATGTTCAGGAAAAAGTCCCTCTGATAAAGCTGATACCACCAAAACCAGCATGGCCCCAGTTTGAGAAACCAGATACAACTGATGAAAGTAACTCTTAATCAGCTGTGAAATATTATCCCAACATGGATTCCACAACTACCTGAGCAAACATGTCCAGACGTCTCAAGCTAAAGTTTATATTGCTATTAGAAATATGATACCACAGATTTTCAACTTCTGACAGCATTGGAATATTGGTTGCATCACAATCTCCAAAGATCTCCAGCTCGCTCCCAACAGTGTGTCGATGTGCAAGATGTGGACAACAGCAGGACCATAATAACAGAATAAGAATAACAGCGGGCTCCGAGCTGTTTGTAGGCTGTCCTAAAGCACTGGCTCACAAGTGGATTTAAATTCTGAAGCTGTGTATCATTTCTTGACATTTGCGGCGAGCTGGTTGCTAAAGTTAAAAGCAGGCACACAGGCTCAAGTCCTGAAAGATGGGAAACTTTTTCTAAGCCCCTTGATGTTTGGATCCGAGGCCGAACTGAACGGAAACCTGCAGCGAAAGGCTTGTCCCAAAGACCTCTTTCTCATCTTTCCTCTTCTTTCCCTTTGTCTCCCAAATAGTGGGGCATTATTTCTGCCTGAATAGAACAACACTCAGAATAAAGACAAGCACTAAATCAAAGGACTTTCAGGACTGCAGCTTTTGTCTTTGAAAGACAACCTAAAGAAGTATCTCCCCAATTGCCAGCCAACACTTTGACATTGAATGGAAAATTAAATTAATCATCATCAAAAGAGGGACGCCGCCTGCAGAAGGGGGAGTTGAAAGTGGGGTGTGTTAGTAAATAGCGCTCTACACAAACTTCTGAGTGCTGTTGGACGGAAAAATTATGAGGGAGAGGAAGAAAGTGATTAAGAGAGCAGCGTCCATTATTTATCTAATAACTGGCAGAGACAGAACAGCGTGACTTCTGTGACGACCTCAGTGCCTAGAATACAGAGACGTAAACCAGAAACAGAAAGTAAGTGAGGAAAGGAGAATTGAAAAAAGAGTGCTGATGAAAGAATAGACACAGGACAATGATGTACACGCACACACACACACGCACACACAGCCTGCTCTGACTTCACTGCTCTGAAGAGTTTTAAAGTCTTGTTTCAACTGTGCAGCTTTTAACCAGTTATGAGACAGTTATTGATTTGATTCTGCTGCGTCTATGCGGCCGACATAAGTAAAAAAGATTGTCCTCCATTTCTACATAATTCCTGTCCTTAATGCCGTCGGGTCGGATTTCGTGTGAAATCACGTGATGCTATGCAAGTCAAATCTCCGGCAGCGGTAGAGCTCGAGGCACGAGAGAACCAGGAGCGAGTGGAACGACTGTCAGAGGCTGCAGCAGTAGAATGAGGACGGAAAGCTACTACTTCTGTGGACAAGTACCGCCAAAATAAAAAGGAAAAAGTTCCCTGTTGTGGCTTTAATGAGGTACAGTATGTGGTACAGAGTGGTACGCTCATCGCCTGCAGGTATGCACTAAATACTCCCCCGAGGCTTTTTCTTCTTCAACAAATGAGATTGATGAGCCTGCTACCCTGTAATGTCACATAGGAGAGTTTACACACACTGAAACATATCACATGCTGCAGTCCGGCTCAGCTCCTGATCCGTTTCTCCACAGGCTTCAGAGCTGCTGCCTTCACTGCGGCTCACCTTGTCTACTAAGTGAGCAATTTATGGTTCACATCTACAAACATGGGCCAGCTGGAAATGTATCCAAATTTGAATTGTGCAATCATAAGAGATTAAAAGCAATATCAAAATCATTCCGAAGTATCGACTCAGACTAAATGTTTGAGAACATTTCTTTGTTGTTGCTCTAGTGTCCTTGGATCTTTTCTTTTAATCTGAAAGTAACTTGTGGATTTTGTATCAGGCGTGTTGTTATTTTGGACTTATTCTATGATCTTGCCTCCGGGTGTCTTCTAATGCTCATCTTTAACTTCTCATTAACAGAAAAACACCATTGGAGATTCATCTCTCCAGCATCCACTCTGCTTCTGATCTATTTGGATTTATTTAAACGCTAGAAATGCAATGCAGTCTACCCAAACCAAAGATACGATGAATGAATACAAGTGTAATACATGGAAATGACAAAAAAAGTATGGGGAATAAAGTAGAACATGATCAAATTATAATTAAGGAAATTTCCATCATTTTTAAATTGCTTTGTGAGATTTACAATGTGATGAAGCTCAATTAAGTGTGAAGAAATGAATCACAAATGTAGCAACTTCCTGACTGTATTCCAAAGTGAGACTTTGGGCCATGCATATTTATTTTGGCTTATTTATTAAGCTCTAATTAACACACAATGGCTTCATCGATTGATGCATTAGTCATCCTGATGAGTTCACTCAGGAAAGATTTGTGTTTTTGTTCAGTGTTTTTAGAACTGTAGTGTTAATCAAAGCTGCACAATTTATCGAAATGTTGTGAAAATTGCAAATTTGCAAAGGTTGAACATTTATAATGTGACATGTTTGTCAAAATAGCATTTCATATTAAGTACTGTCATTGCTGCAGAGATGTCTGGTACAAAAGAAATTGTCTCATAATAATTCCACATGTTATTCAACACTTGTAAACATGATTCCTTCTAATATTACAATTGCAATGCTAGTCATAAAAATGGCACAGGTATTATTCTGGTTTCACAGCACCCTCAGAGACCACATATTCCCACACTTCAATCCCCCTGCTCACACTCACTACTGAGCACCCAGAAGTGTTACTGCACCTTGACACACAAGACTGTTAGCTGCACATTTCTTTAGTCCACTTCCAGCTAATGTCATTCTAATCAAGGTGATTTGAAGTGGATGACATTTTCTCAACATACTAGTAGATTTAAGGTTAGAACACACAGGCCAATTCTTGCAGGGTAAAACTTTTACACCCACTAATGAACCGCAAAAGATGCGTGTGACATTCATTGTGAAGGAACATTCTTGACCTGTGTGCTGAGGATTTAGGCAAATAAATCAGTTCAAATTGCACAATTCGGGTCAAGGCATAAAAGTCTAAGATGGATATGTGGGGTCGTCGTGGCGCAGGGGTTAGAGAAGGTGTGCTGGGAAGCACAAGGTTGTTGGTTCGATTCCAGGCTGCCCATGTTCCACGTCGAAGTGTCCCTGAGCAAGACACCTAACCCCTAATTGCTCCCCGGGCAAAAATGTGAAAAAGCCTTGGGTTTAAAAGTGTAATGGAAGTCGCTTTGGATAAAAGCGTCTGCTAAATGACCTGTAATGTAATGTAATGGATATAAAGACAGACAAGAGACAATCCCCAGCCCCGTCTCCAATGGTACCTGTGAGGGATTTAGAAGAGCAGTCCTTTCCTCCGTGGGGACCTGATCCAGTGCCACTTACAGAACCCTCGTAGCTAATGCAGTTATAACAAAGCAGAGCTGTTCAAGGATAAAAAAAAGAAAAAAATATAAAGAGTAAAGGGACGATGAAAAATGGAGTCATGGGTTGCTGATTTTCTATTATTATATATCAGAGGCGTGGCATTTTCTTTTCAATTTTGGGTGCATTTTTCATATTCCAAAGCCATATTGTTTCCGGGAACAGCCCTGTTTGATGTTATGGCCGTGTTAGCCATGCTGAAGCTCTCAAACCACAGAGACTACCCGCACCTACATGCAACAGCACAACCAATCATGCCCCCCTGAGTAGCATAGGTATCAATTTAGCTTGAACAGATTGCACTTGGCTCAAGACAGCACATATTAGACTGGACACCTGCAAGTGAACTTAGCGGGTGCTTCAACAGACGAAAGGAATAAAGAGTAGAGTTTACATCAGCATCACAACCCGACAGAAGCCAAAGTTATGAAAAGTGGTTAGAGACGGATAAAAACAGACACCTAGGTTAGTAAAGCAGAAGAGAAACAGTTAAAAGCTGGAAATGTAAAAGCAGTCATCTCTAAACTGGATTTGTTTGAGCTTTTGCCATCTGGAATAATAGTATGCAACAGAATGTCAAAGTGGCAAACCCTGAGATGTCAGTCCTATTTCTAGTTAAGTCAAAATAATGTGTGTTTTTAGTCTTGTTGTTTGTGTATGTAATGATGAAAACATCACAGACAACCAGTTCATAAAACTGCAATTAGGAAAATATTGCAATATTGTCATCAGGGGGCAACAGGGTAAATCGTTGATTTGTTACCTCGTTGTTTCAAATGTTTCAAAACAAATTCTTAGCGTTTGCCACTTGAACATGTCGGATCGGGATACAGAAAATATGCCTTCTGTCTTTTATTTTTCATTTTACCACAGGTGTGGAGCTTGTGTATTTTCTGCAGTATTGCGATAAACATTACGTTTACATTTTTGTCTAACCTGCAAATGCTTTGGAAATCCTCTCTTTCTTCCACTCCCACGGCTGGTCGTACTCCTCGGGGGGTCGCTCGTCGTCCTGGGGCAGCCGGCTTTCTCGGGGGCAGCGCGGGTGCTCGGGGTCGGAGTCTCCGCCGTTCTCGGCCGGCTCGTACGGCGTGTCGTACAGGGGCAGCTGCCTCGCCGGCCCGTCCTTGGGCCCTCGCCCACCGGATCGGATTTCTGCAAACAAGGCGGAAGAGCGCTCGTTAATGCCGGGCCGCTGGGACAAAGTTTTACGGACGAAAACGGCTCCGTGGGGCGGAAATGAGGATTTATGACAGTTGTTGCAGTTACTGAAGCAACGCATTTTGTACGGCCCGACTACATGTGATGAATGTGGACTCATATTCTAACTGAGAGACAAAATGGCCTCATGGTCACAGTTTCAGCGAGCTGCATTCTTGTTACACGGCTGAATTCCCACCCAATCACAATTTGCGGGTTAAAGGACACTGTTAACATCGCCTATCAGACTAAAGGGCTTATCTCTTTTGCTCTATAAAATGTATTATGGCTGGAAATGACCAATTTCCGATCACTGTAGAAGAAACGGATAATGAGCAAAAAGGCACATAATGGTATAAAAACTGTTGCTCATAATGTTTTTTTATACTGTAACTGGAAGCAGTGAAGTAAAACTATACAGCGTTGCGGAACACTAACAACAGCTAACAAGGCAGGTATAGGAGAAGGCTACAGGTGCTACATAGGCCTGTACCATGAGTTCACAGGCCTATAAAAGTATGCTGGGCTCAGTCTCATTTCATATCTTGAGTGAATCCCCCTCCGGCGACGATCAGGATGAAAGACAATCTGCGTGTTGGTGGAATGTGGCGAGTGGCACGGAGAGGGGCCTCTCACATGTGGTGAAGGGGAGGGACAGTTTGCGGTTGCTTCACTGATAACAGAGGAGATAGGCAGGAGAGAGTGTTGAAAAAAGGGGAGGACAGGTGGGCCGGGGGGGGCGGATGAGCACCTGCAGAAATGCACACTGCATAACCGCCCAGAGTAAAATCACACGAGGGTCCTGAACGGCGTTGCCCCGGGCGGCACATGTCTGCTGTCAGAACGCATAGCAGCAATTTCCTTTCTCACATTGTTCCCTCTACGTCGCCCCCCCAAAAAACTATTAACATTTTTATGTTCATATTAACTGAACATAGAACATGTATTTTTACAATGATTGAGACGGACGCTGTCTTGAAGGAATTATGGCAGCTCGTACAGCAGTCAGGTTTATCTCAGACATTTCAGAAAAAGTGTCAAACTGTTTCCTGAATATCATTCATTGTTTATACAGTATGTGAAGAATCCTGAATCCAGTGCATGTTTTAGCTTTTACGTTCATCCTTTAGATGAACGTAAAAGCTAAGAGGCAAGCTAACCCTTTCTTTCTTCATTTAAGTAGGTGAAACAGACCTGACTCCAGATGAAGCATCATGCCCCTGAGAACTCTCCTCGTCCCCTTTTTACCTACGCCTCCCCTCACCATTCTCCCTCTGCTCGTATGAAGTTGTGAGCAGTCTGCACCCTTCCTCCCGGGCCACATGAAGCTGTTAGTGGCCACCACCACCATAGAGTAATGCAATGTGAAGAGAATGAAATATTATGCCACACTACTGCATAATTGCCTTTTAGCCCAAGGGAGCTCTTGCGGAAAAATGAGCAACGGGTTGACCTTAAGGGGGCCCCCCCCCCCCCCCCCGCCGCTGATGGTGGGGGTGGTGGAAGCGGAGGGGTGGAGTGAGGTGAGGCTGCCTGGTACCATATCTCAGCGTAATACAGCATTAGGCAAACTCACGCACTTTGATGTGGCAATTAAAAGACTTGGTACAAGGAGATCCTGGCTTGTTTGCTGCCCCCCCTGCAGGGGGACAAATAGCTGTAGAAGGGGGTGGAAGAAGCGAAAGGCAGGCCGCCTGCCAGGAGGAGGCCAAGTGAGAGCGCGATGCGAGGAGGGCGTTTCTGCTGGGGAGTAAGTCTTGTGGGAAGAACCCTTTAATTGGAGGCGTGTTGCCTTCGATAAACTGCTGCAGTGGATTGAGACTCCCCGTTAGCTCCCAGGAACGAGGCCTTGTGCGTGCAGATAGTGGCCCGGTCGGAGCCTTTCTTTCTTCCTTCCTTCCAACCTCCTTTCCTTGTTTCCTTCCATCCTCCACTCGCCTGTTTTCTTTGCTTTGTGCTGTCCGCTCCTGTTAAGGCACGCTGGGTAAGCTGGGTGGGGACACATAAGTCTCGGCAAATTGCACGGCGGAGTAGGGGTTGCTTGTTTCAACACAGCTGCAGTCTATCTTTTTGTCATTGACCTTTAGCCTCTGTTGAGGGTCAGAGGTCAGTCACCACCACACCCTCCCTTGATGTACCTCATACCTCCCCCTCCCCGGATTACGGAGTTCCTGTCCAGATGCTGAACTTCCTCTCTGATGCTTGCTGCCCATTGCTTACTTGGCCTTTACACCTCCTACATTCAACCCCCTGAAACTCTTGCGATATTTCAGTTTCCAAGTATTTACAGATTCAAACGATTTCTCAAGACCACTAATGCAGCCAAGAATAAGTATTGTAAGAAATAATTCAACATTGAGAAAGTGTGCCACGCTGCACAAGGTTGCAAAACACGTGAAACCGCAGCAGCACTGACCATAACCATCTGTTTATTGCCAGTAAAAAGGATGTGTTTGGGTGCGTGGGGGGACAAGGGGGGGCAGAGCACACTGCTGAGAACCAAACAGCTGCGTTTGAGCTGCAACCCATTTTGTCCTAATGAGAAAAGACACAGATAATAAGTCTCATAAAAACTGTAACGCACCAGTCAGTTGACTGCAAGTTTCCACTTGCCAGCAGAAACATTCTAAATGAAGAGCTAAACGATGAAACAGGTGGAAAATCCTGTCTTTATTATCATTTTCATCTCAGGGTCATATAGTAGAGAGAATCATCTTATCCGAAAGAGAGGAACATGTTGGAATACATCCAGGGGGGCTCCTGTTACACTTAGTACAATTAAAGTCCTCTGGGCTTATTATCACAGCAGTGCATGGGCAGGCAGAGAGCTCTGGATTAAATAAAAAAAACATTAACAGCGACCAACTTGGCAACCGCATCGTGCTTCACATTAAGGACAGACCTCATTGCCCGGACCACTCACGTCTCCTCGTCCTTCTCCATTATCGCCCACCAGTAAAAGTGAGTGCTTATGCAGGGGAATTAACAAACAATTGCATAACCGTGCTTTTATTGGCAGGCTGAAGATACGTACAGGGAGAACACATTCATCTGCCCCTGCTGCATCCACTCCCACCGGAGAGAATGTGCACAGTGGCACTCTGGATTCGATTGAGGGGATCTCTTGTGCACTGGTGGAGAATGAAATGCGACTGAGAAACCATGGCCAGAATAACAGAACGGGCTTCAAGGATTTGCTCCGTCTGCTCCCTGATCTCAAGTGACTGTTGAAGAAAGCCGAAACCTGTGAACTCATCGTATCTTCATACACCTCGGTCATCAACAAGGGGGCTCCCTGCAGAGAGCATCCATAGAGCAACTAAGTCTACACTGTCAACAGGCAAATGACTTAGCGGATGCTTTCCGATCCCAGCACATTAATCACTAAAGTCATGCTTTGGCGCTGAAAGGTGTTTTAGTCGACTCAGCGACGTCTGCAGGGACATGACGGGCTGATTGACAGAGCGGCTCGAACAGGGCAGTCAAGAGATTCCATTGATACGGAGGGCCACCCGCAGGTATTGTGTGTCGGTGAGCGAGCCGGCTGACAAAGGAAGGTGTTGTGCTCGTCGACCCCGTGGCGCCCTGCTGTCGAGTGTCATTCCGCTCATTGGGTGGAGCCGAGGCGAGGCTTCAACCCGCAAGACCTCCGGGAGAATGGTAACGATGAGCAAAGACAAAACAACCCCTGTCGGCTTTGTGCGCACACCTCACCCCCATTTTCATTTGTTTCCATGTCTCATGGCGTTTTAGAGAGAACAAAAGCAGCAAAGACAAAGGGATTAATTAACATCAACGCTTCTGTCATACGCCTCTTTTCACAGCGTGCGCAATTTTCATCTTTCCTTACTTAATTTGGTATTTCGCGACTATTTGCAAAGCTTTGATTTCTTACAGGCATGCCCGTCTCTCTCGGCGAACACGACAGGTTTGTCCATATGCAAAGTGTGTGTGTGCCTCCATCAGCCTCCTGCAGACGGAACAAAAGCTGCCGTGCCTTTTGTTCCCACCGTCTCCTCCTTCCTCCTCCGGCTCTCGCTGTGCCGAGCTGGCGGTACAATCCGAGGCCCCTGGCTGCCTGTCACACGTATACTTTTGGGGAGCCTGGAAGCCAAAGCTCAGACAGTCTATTCATGCTTGGCCCGGAGAGGAGAGTATTTTGGGCTTTGCCAGCACTATTTTTGGTTTGTGCTTTCTTATAAATGCCTACTGTTTCAACTGCACGACATACTTTTTGACATTGGAATGAAACACAGGGAAAGGCTCCATTAGGCAGACAGAACGAGCTGGGTCCCCTCTGCAAATGAATGTAAGCAGATCCCTCTTAAGCCTTCTATCAAACAAGTGCGTCCATTCACATGTAATATCCGAGCAGTGCAAGGCCTGCGCGGTGGTGTGTGCACATGCGTGTGTTAATTTTGCCGTTTCCCCTCCGATGGCGCGAAGGGAGTAGAACCTGACGAGTGTCTCCCACAACCCGCTGACATGTACAAGGACTCGTTCTCTTCCTGGAGCGAGAAGAGTCGGTCTCAAGAGACGCGGCAAACAAAGCCGAAAAAAAAAAACCAGAGGGAGGCGGGCGATGGCGGAAGTCAGCCTGACAAACCAACAGAGGCAAGAGAGACGTGAGAGTCGCGCTGAGACAATGACAAGACGCAGACAGAGACAGCGAGTGGAGGGGAAAAAAGAGGGAGGGGAAAAATAGAAAATTAGAGACGGGCATGTGAAGTTTTGTCACAGAGGGAGAAATAAACAAAGAGACTGCGACAGGAAGTTGGGGAGAGTGACGGGGAGAGAGAGAGTAGTAGACACGAAGAAAGAGTGGCAAGAATAATAAATATGCACAGCAGCTACGGGTGCTCCGTATATAACAGCTAATGAACACCCGTGACTTGAAAGCTCACTGCTGCTGAAATGAACTGTGAGGTGACGTACGCGGTGCAGTACTGGCAGAC